AACTGCACAGGGTCCAGGTTATTTATCAACTAAATGGTCAGTACCAGGCTTTGTCTTAACTGCCTCAGGAATTTCAGGTTCTGTGTTTAGTTCAGAAACTTTACAATACCTAGTCCTTTACATTTTAACTCAGGCTTTGCAGCTTAGAAACTTTACCCTTTCAGTACAAGGCCCTGGGTTCAGTCCCTAGCAAAATAAATAAATAAAAATAAATAAATGCATTAAGTACAATCTTTTTTTTTTCTCCTGTGGAAGTAACAATCTTCTTTAAAGCTAAGTAATATTCCCATGTATGTGTGTGTGTGTGTGTGTATCTAACATTTTTTAATCCATTAATCTGTTGAAGGGCACCTAGGTTGGTTCCGTAGTTTAGCTATTGTGAGTTGAACTGCTATAAACGTTGCTGTGGCTGCATCACTATAGTATTCTTTGGGTATAAAATGAGAAGTGGGATAGCTGGGCCAAATGGTGGTTCCATTTCAAAATTTTCGAGGAATCTCCATACTGCTTTCCATAGTAGTTGCACCAATTTGCATTCCCACCAGCAATGTATGAGTGTATCCCACATCCTCACCAACATTTATTGTTGTTTTTGTTCTTTTTTTTTTGTTTTTGTTTTTCTGATCCTGGGTATTGAACTCAGGGGCACTTGACCACTGAGCCACATGCCCAGCCCTATTTTGTATTTTATTTAGAGACAGGATCTCACTGAGTTGGTTAGTGCCTCGCCTTTGTTGAGGCTGGCTTTGAACCTGTGATCCTCTTGCCTCACCCTCCTTAGCTGCTGGGCTTAAAGGCATACCACCACACCACACCTGGCTGTGGTTTGTGTTCTTTTATTCTTTTTTTTTTTTTTTTTTTTTTAGTGGTGCTGGGGTTGGAACCCAGGGCCTCATGAATGCAAGTTAAGTATTCTACCAGCCGGGTATCCTATATCCTTTTATTTTTTAATTGATATTATTTTTTTCAAATACACAACAGCGGAATGCATTACAATTTTTATTACACATATAGAGCACAAAATTTCATATCTTTGTGTATAAAGTATGTTCACGCCAATTCATGTCTTTATGCATGTACTTTTTTTTTGCATTACAATTCTTATTACACATATATACCACAATTTTTCATATCTCTGTAGGTAAAGTATGTTGACACACAATTCGTGTCTTCATACATGTACTTTGGATAATAATGTCCATCACATTCCACCATCCTTGCCAATCCCCTTCCCCTCCCCTACCCCCAGCCCTTGATAATTGCCATTCTGACAGGGGTGAGATAAAATCTTATTATAGTTATGATTTGCATTTCTCTACTTGCTAAAGATTAGAAAAATCTTTTTATTATTATTATTATTATTTACTTGTTGATGGACCTTTATTTTACTTGTTTGTATATGGTGCTGAGAATTGAACCCAGTGCCTTATATATACCAAGCAAGTACTCTTTCACTGAGCTACAACCCCAGACCTAGAAAAATCTTTTGAACATTTTTTCCATATATTTGTTGATCAATTGCATTTCTTCTTCTGTTGGAGTGTCTGTTCAGTTCTTTAGTCAGTTCTTTAGTTTTTGGGGAGGGGTGTACCAGGCATTGAACTCAGGGGCACTCAATCATTGAGGCACATTCCTAGCCCTGTTTTGTATTTTATTAGAGACAGGGTCTTACTGAGTTGCTTAGTGCCGCGCTTTTGCTGAGGCTGGCTTTGAACTCGAGATCCTCCTGTCTCAACCTCCAGAGCCACTGGGATTATAAGTGTGAGCCACCCCACCTAGCGTAGCCCACTTATTGAGTGGGTTGTTTTTTGGTGTTTGCTGATAAATGGATGGAGCTGGAGAATATCATGCTAAGTGAAATAAGCCAGTCCCCCAAAACAAAGGCTGAGTGTTTTCTCTGATATCAGATGCTAATTCACAATAAGGGGTGGAGGGCTAGGGAAGAGTTACTTCAGATTAGGTAGAGGGGAGTGAGGAAGGGGAGGGGGACTGGGGATAGGAAGGATAGTAGAATGAATCAGACATTATTTCCCTATATACATATATGACTACATGAAGAGTGGGGTTCTACATCATGTATAACCGGAAGAATGATAAATTATACTCCATTATATATGGTTAGCAAGGTGCATTCTACTGTCATGTATAATTAATTTAAAAAATTGAAAAAAAATAAGTTACAGTGACAGAGCGTCAAGGGCTATAATCAATGTATGAAGTGGATGACTGTTACAAACTAGCTTGTTTTAATGACTAGGGTCCCAAAGAAAGAATAACCTGTTTAGCTCTAGAGCTACTTCAGGATGTGTGTATGAGTGTGTGTGTGTGTGTGTGTGTGTGTGTGTGTGTGTGTGTCCTTGTCCCTTGATGCCTTCGCAAATTGGCATGGGTGCTTTGGAATCTTAGTGGGGCTTAGGGAGGGCAGCGACTGAAATTCAATGAGGAGCTCTGAGAAAGCAGAGTTGGAATAGTAAGCGAAGAGATACTTGGAGAGAATGAAAAGCTGAAGATTGATTCTGGAAAGGGTGCATTTTAGGGAGGTTAGAAAGCATCTCAATGGGTGATTACAACTCAATATAGGCCAAAGAATGGGAAAGCATTTTGAGGTAGCATTTTTTTGGGGGGGCGGGGAAGTTAACTAGAGGTAAAGCAGGGGTACTTGGCCCCTGAGCCACATCCCCAGCCCTGTTTTGAATTTTATTTAAAAACAGGGTCTTACTGAGTTGTTTAGCACTTGGCTTTTGCTGAGGTTGGCTTTCAACTTGTGATCCTCCTGTCTCAGCCTCCCAAGCCACTGAAATTACAGGTATGTGCGGAGTCTGGGCAGGTAGTGGATTTTGACAGGACCCTGAATAGCCACCCTTTCCATCTTCCGCCCTGAAAAGCAAAGCAGGCCTGGCAGATGCCTGTAATTCCAGTGACATGAGAGACTGAGATAGGATAATCACATGTTTGAACCCAGTTTTAGCAACTTAGTGAGACACTGTCTCAAAATTAAAAATATAAAAGGCTGGGGATGTGGTTCAATGGTTAAGCGACCCTGGATTCAATCCCCAGTATAAAAACAAACACTGCAAATGGGGTAGTAGAAGCCAGGCACAGTGGCGCAGGCCTTTAATCCCAGGAGCTCCAGAGGCTGAGGCAGGAAGATTGTGAGTTTAAAGCAAAAGCGAGGTGCTAAGCAACTCAGTGAGGCCCTGTCTCTAATAAAATACAAACAGGGCTGGGGATGTGGCTCAATAATTGAGTGTCCCTGAGTTCAATCCCCAATAACCCCAAAATTAGAAAAAAAAAAAATAGGGAAGTAGAGAGGTGGGGCAAGGCTCGCCGGGGAGACCAGCCCGGAGAAGGCGGTCTCCCTCAGGCCCCGCCCCACTTCAGACCCCTTGGGGCGTGACCAAGGCTCCGCCCCTGGGTTACGCCATCAGCGGGCGACGTACCTGGAATCATTCGGCCCCGCCAGCTCGGCGGTCGGCCACCTGTCACTGCAGGCACCAGTCATGGTTCTGTTCCGTGGTTTGTAAGTTGGCAACCCACGTCCCCGCGGTGACTGTGGTCCTGATGGCTGCAGCGGCGGCCCTAGCAGCGGCCGAAACCCCTCCTGCCATGCCGCAGGCGGCAGGGGCCGGAGGGCCTACGGCCCGTCGTGACTTCTACTGGCTGCGCTCCTTCTTGGCCGGAGGTGAGTGTCCGCCCTGAAGTCTTCTAGTTGCTTTCCTCCGGCTAAAATCGCTGGCAGATCGGGTGCTAGCGGCCTCTACGATATTCCTTACTCTGCTTCAGTACCCTGCAGGATGTTTACCCATACCTGCCTGTAATCTCATTATAATAATCCTTGACTTGTGCCAGCTAGGTTCAAGGGAGTGGGACCTTGGGCTCTTGGGAAGAGGCTGGAGACCTGGAAGGACTAAGTCAAGCTGATATTATCCAGAGTTGGGTAGCCAGGAAAAGAGGCAGATCCCTTACACGAAACATACTGGGCACTCCTTTCTTTTGTAAAGACTGGGTAACTGAGTGTGCAATTAGGTTTTGCTGTTTGCTTAAAGGAAAATAAATATTGGAGGTCAGCTTTTTAAAGATGACTGAGAAATTGTGTAAAATTAGCAAACTGTGTCAAAACTACTTGACAAGCCCTACTATTGATCTGACCACGAGACCAGAACATTCACATTGTCTCAAAAAATTTCCTCTGCCTCATCATAAGGAAGTGTTTTAATCTCTTCCCTCATGGTGTAATTGCTTGTCTGGGTTATCATGACTTAGTTATTTGACAGAGAATTTTAAAATTCCACATTATGAAGACTTGTTGAAATATATTATCTGTATTTTGCAGCAGTAACAACAATTAGTTTGTCCTCCTGATAAAAAGGGCATTCATTTATTCGTACTGGAAATATTTGAGTGCCAGATATGTGCCTACTTTTTGCTTTAGTATACATCAAAGAACACAAGAAGGGGGCTGGGGTTGTGACTCAGAGGTAGAGCGCTCCCCTAGCACGTGTGAGGCCCTGGGTTTCATCCTCAGCATTACATAAAAATAAATAAAGGTATTGTGTCCAACTACAACTAAAAAATAAATATTTTAAAAAAAGGAACAAAAGAAATATCTATACCTTCCTGGAGTTTATGTTGGTTATGGAGTTGTAAGGTGAAGAATAAACAGAATGAAAATATAGTATGTTAGAAGGTGATGAATGCAATTGGAAGAAGTAGAAAGAAGAGAGGGAAGGCAGTGGAGTGGACAGTATTAAAGATGATGGCTGTGGTGTTTCACTGAGAGATTGAAACTTGAAACTTGAGCGAACTTTTTTTTTTTTTTGGTACTAGATGTACTAGATATTGAACCCAGGAGTGCTTTACCACTGAGCTACATCCCCACCCTTTTAATTTTCTTATTTTGAGACAGAAGCTTGCTAAATTGCTGAGGCTGGCCTTGAACTTGTATCCTTCTGCCTCAGTCTCCTGAGTCACTGGGATTACAAATGTGTGCAACAATGCCTGGCAGAGAAGGCAAAGACTTTAAAGCCAGAAAGTCTGGTCTGCTGTAAGACTTTTGGCTGAAGACAAGTGGTGTTGATTAGGGAAGGAAGTTAGGTAAAGAGAGCAGGGAGAAGAAAATGAAGGGATCTTCCAAATCATAAAGATTCTGATTTTTACTCAGAGTGAAATGGGGAAATATTACAGATTTTTTTTGTGTATCTATGTTTGCTGGTGCTTGAACCCAGGGCTCTTGTGCACTGAGCCACACCCCTAACCTTTTTTGTTTTATTTTTAGATAGGGGATCCCTATGTTGCTGAGGCTGGCTTTGAATTGCCATCCTCCTACCTCAGCCTCCTAGGTCACTACCTCATATGTGGATCACTGTACCTGGCAATTTTACAGATATTGAACACAAAAAAGTGTCAGGCTATGACCTGGCTGCTCTGTTGAGAAAAACTGTAAGATGCACATATAGAAGCAAAGAGACCAGTTTGGGAGTTATTACA